CTAGCCCGGATCCCAGGGAGCCCTTAATCCGAGACAGCCTTGCCGCTCTACTTTGCTGTGTAACGTAAGTTGGTGAACTTATGGGCTTGTCTCCTCATATTGGTCCCGAACCTCCTGTTCTGAAACTAGCTATAAGTAATTGTTCAAGCAACATGCGCTTTTCATCTGTGTCCTTCTTGCTGAGTTGAGGTGTTGAGCAGTGTATTCTCTTACACAGTCTCTGTAAATTCTTCACTCTGTGTTCATTTACTCTAGGAAGTGTGCACACGCTGGGGATCAGGTCCTGCTTGGGAATAGAGCCTCAAGGTCACATTTGGGAGAGGAAGGAATGCAGGGCACTCCCCTTGAGGTAGCTCTCAGCAGCATCTGAGTAACTAAATTCCCTGAGTCACCACAGTGCCAAATGCCCCTGTCCTGCAAGCTTTTTACTACTCACATTTGTGAAAACTGGTGGTACCCCTAATTCCAGTTATAAATAAATCAGTGGTTTAATACTAATTTTATGAAGAAACAATTTACATAAACATGTAATTTCTTCATCTTGTCCTAATCAGAAATCGTATGGGTTTTATATCCCATTACATTATTTTCATAATAATCCATTACAGAAATTTAAAACATAGGTGTGGCTTCTTTATGGGTATTCTTTACTTCATCTCTGTGTCATTTAAAAACAAAGAAGAAGAGGAGCTTTGGCTGGTGCGGCTTGGTTGGGTGTTGTCCTGTGCACAGAGGGGTCCCTGGTTCAATTCCCTTTCAGAGCACATGCCCAGGTTGTGGCTTAAAACGCTAGTGGAAGGCATGCAGTGGGCAGCCAATAGATGTCTCGCTCTGGCATTGAGGTTTTTCTCTCTCTGCCTCTCTTTCTTCCTCTCTCTAAAAATCAATAAAAAAAAATGAGAAGAGTTGGCTTAGAAGTCTTAGAAGATTAAATATAGGAAATCCAATCAAGAAAAATAGCTGATCATTAGAATCTTATTAACACCCAGAGCTCCCTAAAAAAAAAAGTAAAAGAGGCACCGAGTATTAGCTAAGGGAATTTCTTCAGGCATGGAAAGAAGGAGGCCCCAGCTTCGCAAGCATTCGTGGGCAGAGATTGCAAAATGTCAAAGTAATGATGTTATGAGTTGACCGAGGCTTTCAGAAATATCAGGTAATAATCATTTCGACCCCAAAATGAATTTAATTGCTGTTAGTGGATTCTCTCCTTTTCTGAGTTCACATCCAACTCTTTCCACCCGTTTAGTTTTATGCCCCTTCCTCTGGTGATTGGCCAGGAGAGTATGTAGTTCTTCCAACTTAATTTTGCAAAGGGCACCGGTGCCCAACTGCTCAGACAGTGAGCTTTTGTGTGTAGGTTAGTACTCGCCTTTAGCTTTAAGATTTGCCTTGCCACAGTTTTTAAGCAGCTTTAGATTGTGTCCACTTAATGAGTGCTGCTTTGTTCCAAGCACTGAGCTCTGAGCTCTGTTTATATAGGTAAGTTGATGTGGAAGAGTAAACAAATATCTGCAAAATAGGGACATTATCGACTATTATCTAATTCATTAAGCAAAAATCTCACTTAAGAGATTTTGTATCACTTGTCTCCAGTCCTCACTTTACTCAGCCTGTATAAATATATCCTTTGAGAATGCTGCATTATACAGCAAGTATATTGTATATATTTTCTCATGCCCTAAAGACTAACACTTCTCATTTGGGTTTAGTCTCCTATTTGGGTAGCAGGAGGTAGATAACTTGTTGTGGTTCATTATAATTGCATTAATTTTCTGTTCCTAAAGTAATTTATATACCAGGCATTTATTTTTTAACTATGTATTTTATTGATTTCAGAGAGTAAGAGAAAGAGCGATAGAAACATCAATGATGAGAAAGAATCATTGATCGGCTGCCTCCTACACACCCCACACTGGGGATCGAGCCCACAACCCAGGCATGTGCCCTGACTGGGAATCAAACCCTGACCTCCTGGTTCATAGGTCGATGTTCAACCACTGAGCTATGCTGACTGGCCCCTATGCATTTATTTACTACCATAAAAACCCATTTTTTGAAAAGTGGCTTTGTTATCCACAGTAGAACACATCGCCTTAGAGTTGCTTAAGTTAGCCTGGTACCTTTTAAGTTTGTTAAATTAATTGTCAAATAAGGAATGCTCTCATGATGGATCTTTCCCAGCTGTCTTTTTACTTTCTTTGTGATTTTATATGAAGCTAGATGATTCCTTCTTAATTTTTACAGATTTTTACGTGAATTAGCCCAGATCCCTAATTTTGCTGAGCGTGCCCAGTGTATCATCTTCAGGTCTGTCTTTTCCGAAGGCATCACCTCCTTGCATCGAAAGGTAGAGATCATCACACGAGCTTCTAAGGTATGTTGCTGTCTAATTTAAAAAGACAACTTTGTCCTTATTAGGGGTAAAGGAGGAAGCTGGGAGTGGGAGAGATCAGCTAGAATCCCTTTGCCAAAACTTTTTGGGTTTAAGATTGTGTGTTTTTCTAAGTATAGCTGTGAGTATGTGTGTGCATGCAGATGAAGTACGAGGGAGAGGGAGAGAGAAAAGGAGAGAAGGGGGGGGAAATGGCATTCTTACAGATTTTTTCTCAAATATTTCAATGTACATACTGGCCATTTAACACCAACCCAAATAGTATAGTTTATTTTTTACTCACTGTCTGGATTACAAAAGAGGTTTTGCCTCAGACCCATGAATTTGATCATCTGAAATGTGCTACATAGTGAAATAAAAAGATTCTAGATATTTGTTAAAGGAAACAAATGATTATGATAATGAGTGATGAGCAAATAAATTTTTGTTGGCTTTACCACATTGGTATTCATTATAAAGTTAAATTCTAGCATTTGGCTTTTTCTCCCAGTGACCCATGTCCTTAAGAACACTCTCCACAAATACTGTAGCTTTTAGTTTAATACTTAGTTACTTATCTGAAGGCATTATTTTTTTCTTTCTAAAATATAAAAGATTTCAATAAGGAAGGCATATATACCAAAGTATAATATGTACCCTTTAATAGTGCCCAGAGAGTCAGGAGCAGAAGTCAGCCTAGAGCTGCATTTGGATTTCTTTTCCTAAAATAAAAGAAAGCCAACTAAGACTATAGAGAAAGGGGAAAAGTATCTATTTGAAGTGTGTACTTGAAGCAAAGAGAAAGAGAGAGAGAGAGAGAGAGAAGGAAAGGAAGAGGGAGAGAGGGAGGGAGGGAGGGAGGGAGGGAGGGGGAGAGAGAGAGAGAGAGAACAAATGAAATGGGGAGCGAAGAAAACTCTAAGCAGCTTGGAATAACAGTGAATAGACATATCAGCAAATAGACATACTTAATACAGGTGGCCTCTGGTCTTGAACTACATGATTGTAGTTCACCTCTGAGGGTTAGAACCACAAATAAGGAAGAATTGACATGTTATTATAACTACCCTACACTTAACTGTACTGTTTACATAGATAATAGTCCAAAAACAGATCCTCAAATGATATTAAACCCCTTTCTACTTGCAAGTCATCGAATGTGAAGCCTAACTATAACAACTCTCTTTCCTGAATTTATAAATACTTTCAAGTATTTACAAAATAAAACTGGCTCAAATGGAAATACAAATACTAATATTTAACCCACACATAGTATAATTCATTGAAAGGATAGGAAATGATGACTCAATGTATTTTTTAAAAGACACGTAAGGCTTAAAGTTTATTTTCCATCTTGCTAACTGTTAATTCTGTTGGTAACATGCCACCAAATAGCCTATTGGGTACTCAATAAATATTTGTTGTTGAATGGACATAGTTATATTTGGAGTTCAGCTGCATAATCATTGGTGTTTGTCATCACAGGGCTTGCTGCAAATGAAGAGTGTGAAGGATATTTTAGCTCTCATTCTGGCTTTTGGAAATTATATGAATGGAGGAAATAGGACTCGGGGACAAGCAGATGGATACAGCTTAGAAATTCTGCCCAAACTCAAGGATGTCAAAAGTCGGGTATTTATTTGTTTTGTAATAAATGTCTATGATCTGCCATTATTTTCCCTCTATCCCTTTAATTTTAAAAAAAGAAAACCTATTTCTGATTGTTCCATTTATCTCCGTCCTCCCCATAACAATATACTTTTCCTTTGCTTTCTTTTGACTTTGGAATAAAATAGCTTTTTTTTTTTAATGTTTGATCTTATTTTGATGGCAAAATTCCCACTACATATTTGTTTGCTTTAAAATGCAATTAGATGTTGAATTGCAGTGAGAGAATAAAACAGCATATGATATTAGCCATAGCACAAGGCTTGAATTTGTTGTTGGCCACTTGTAATTTATTCATTCCTGTCAATGGACCAATGTTGAGGTGAGCGTTTGACTTACTCTTTTGCCCACAACAATCAGGCTGGACGTTACTGTCAAACTCTCTGAGCCTGATTATCATTTGGCTCCACACCCCTGCAGAGCCACCTCTTTAGAAACAACCAGCCATACCTAGGCATCCTATGGGGGGGCAGTGGGAGTGGAGGGAGGGGAAACACAGAGGCAAATTAGAATTAGATCCATGTGAACAAGACTCAAAGGCTGCCTTGTGGGAGGGCCTGGCCTCCCAGGGTCATAAAGTGGCATGGCATTCCTTTTAAGCTGTCCTGATTGTTTTTCACACCATTAAGAACACACATCTTTTGAAAGGTGGGAAGGGAGGGATGGTTTTCTGTTCTAGTCCCTGGTTCCCTTTAGCACTCCCCTGCCCCCTCCTGTCTTGGCTTTATGCCAGAAAATATAGAGACTGTGTTTTATTTATTTATTTTGTTTGTTGGTTGGTTTTAGCCATGACCTCAGAGGTCTTATGGATTATTTGGGGGATTTTTACCCCACAAAGAGCAGTGTAGTGTTATTTCTTTGCATGGATGCCATAAAAAATGGATGGGACAAGGAGGAGAGAGAGAAATCTTGCCGGTCTCAGAATTAAGACCAGGTATCACGCACTAAAAGTGTTAAGGTCATAAACTGAGATTTTTGGCTCTCAGCTGTATAATACAGCAGAGTCTCATGTGAATGATTTTCATTTAAGCTTCTCTTTTAAACCTAGGATAATGGGATTAATCTGGTGGACTATGTCGTGAAATACTACCTGCGTTACTATGATCAGGTAAGAAATGGCATTATGTGGAAAACTACACAAATGGGGCTTCAACTCTTACACATTGTTGGCATTCAGCTATCGGATGATGGATGGATGGATGGATGGATGGATGGATGGATGGATGGATGGATTTCAAGTCCTGAGAGCTAGCCAGCCTCCTTGGTTTATAGATGGAAACACTGAAGCCAATTGTGAAGAGAACCTCTATTTGGTGGTACAGGTCTACTTACTCTCACTCCGTTGTGTGACACAGCTTCGGAGAAACCCCCGGTATCCCGGTGCCTTCTGACCAGGTTGCCAGGGCCTTTGTGAAGTCTAGCCATTATATTTGAAACTAGATTCTGGGATGCAGACCAAAATTTAGGAAATTAATATTCAGTAATGCCCAATACATTCTCAGTAATGTTCATCTGGGAACAAGTTGCAGATGTGGAATTTGAAATCCCTCCTCTTTGCTTAAATTACATTTGCAATTAGAAATAACATTTTCTGTGAGAATCTACCTGAGCATAATTTTCTGTATTTTATTCCTCCTCATTAAATTGAGAACAAGGAGTCCTAGCTTTGAGAAGAAAGAGGTACTGTTGTAAGATGTTGAGAAATCTAGCAATCAAGATGAATGGAAAAAGTCTCCGGAAAATGTTGTCAGGACTCCTGCTTAACTATCCATGGAAGCAGAGTTTTTCCTAGGTACTGAGGGAAGGAAAGTAAAGATGCCAGAGCCTTAGTTTTAAGAGGCCTGCAATTTCATCCAGACGACCAGCTAAGCACTGATGAGGTTTATAGTTCTCTTTCTTGCACTCCCGGTGGGTTTATCTAATTGTTCTCAATATATCTACAACCAGGATTCTCATCCCACCCCACCCCTCCACTTCTCCCCTGTTTCTATTAAGGATATTATAATTTTGGTCATTTAGACATGAAATGGTGCTTTTCTTTCGTTGATCTCTGTCCTTCAATTCAAATTGTTTGTCATGTTCTTCCCTGGTTTTTATCCTAAGTGACCCCCGCCCATTCAGGCTTTATGATAACTCACCTAGGGAATTTCGATTACTTCCCGGCTGGCTTCCCCACCATTCTAGCCCATTCCACGGCCTGTGGCCTGATTACATTTTATAGTTCTGATCATTTCACATCACTTTTTTACTCCAAAACAAAATGTCTCCCCTTTTTCAAGTGAATTAAGATTCTATCCAATTTAATGCCAGTGTTTTACAACCAGATTTTTATTACTTTTCCTCTGTGCACATTCTATGCTTCAACTCAAGACTTGATGTTTTCCAAACACACCCTGTGCTTTCTTCCTGATGTGTTTTTGCATCTGATGTTCTCCCTAATTGGAACTATTCTTGTCACTAGCCTTTTTATATAAAACTTCTCTTTTTTCTTATGAATATCTCTTAAAATAATTAAAATACCTTTGGGGGAAAAAGTTTATATAGTGAGCTCTTCAAAAGCAATAAGCAAAAATCAATTCATTCCTTCTCATTTTAAAAATAGTGGCAAAACAGACTGCAGGTAACCACAGAAAACAAATAGAAGATATAAATTGCCAACTATATGTATAGAATTAGCAATCTATACTGATCCAGCCTTTCTAGGGTCTGTCTTGTATGATTGACTGAGTTCCTATCTGTTTAAGATCTATAGGTCAAATGAGACCCTTATCTAGTTTGCTCTGGATTCGCCAAACTATATGTCCGTAATGGGTACCTTGAAAAAATTTCTCATCATGTGCTTGTCAAGCTGTTTGCCCAGAGAGCTGTGTCTGCTTACCGGGGACCCCTTTTCCTAATTCAGATGTGCTGTATGGGCTAGTGAGACTTTGACCATTCTGTATCTGAAGCCCTATGAATATGTGGAATATTACACATATTTCTAGGGGTTTTATCCTAAGGAAAAAATAAGGACATGTATCACTATTTTATTTGAAATAATTTGTAGTAGCAAAATATCACGAAATTTTTTAGTAGGTGTCCAAAGGTAGAAACTAAGTCAAATAAATTATTCTAGAGTCATACAATGGAATATGCTACCATGGAAAGTGTCTAAGAGAATGTTTACTGGCATTGGAAAATGCTTTTGATCTGCTTTTAAATTACAAATGTGTTTAGAATAATATATACTGTGATCTCCAATATGTAAGTATAAATACACACAGAAATACCTGGAAGGATATATATTAAAATGTTTGATTATTTCTGGATAGTAGAATTGTAAGAGATTTTTACTTTCTTCTTTCTTTTAATTACTAAACCTAATGAACATGTGCCACTTTTGTAAAAGGAAAAAAAGATATAATAAAAAATATTGCAATCTTACATGACCTTTCTTCCAAGAGGGCTTTGCTCAGTTCCTTGTCTTTTACTCGTTTTAAGCCCAGGAACACTTGGTTTGAATGACTCACTTAAAATATGTTTTCTACCTCATCTACAGATATCAATGAGCAATTACCATCGCCCTGGTATTGCTCCCTGAGATCCAGAACTCATTGTCTCTTTCTAGTGTCTGTAATGTAGGTGCCTGATAAATACTTGCTGAGTTGTATATTCTGCAAATATTGACAACAATGTAATAAGAGGCATCTGTAAAGAATTAGGTATGAGGAGGTGAAAGCTATTTTCTGGTAGAGAGGGGAGGTATATTGCTTCAGGCAATATGTACGTACCGTACCCCAAGTTCTGGCAGCAGGTACCAGTGTGGTAGAAGCATTGTGAGAGGTGACTTTTCTAATCCCAGGTTGACATGAGCAGATATACCTCCTGGTATTTGTCTCAACCAAGTCAGATGCATTGTGTAGGAAGACTGAGATTTGCCTATGATATACAGCTCGTTGAAGAAAGCCGAACCCAGTGAAATCAGCTTCCCAGAGGAAAATCTTACCGTAAGAATAGTTTCAAATTTGGAATGGTCCGGCTTAGGAAAAATAAGAAGTCAACATTCGTGTGGTCCTCCCCTAGTTTTCACTGTGCAAAATGCATTTCACTCAACAAGAGCGTAAAATTGTATGATTTATTAAACGATCCTCTCCCTTTAGGAGCGTAAGTGATGATTTCTGTGGTTAGTAGTGATGAGCAATTAGCTGAAGAAAGGTGACTTCTGTTCCAGGCTTTCTTCCACTCATGCCAGGTTTTGGGTCCAAGTCTAGGTCTGTGAAGTTTAAAGAAACCCATCTAGAGCCATGTCTTTTGAACTCTAATTGAGCAAATTTCACCAGAACTACTACCAGGCTGATTGGCTCAGCAGCATTTTCTCAATTAAAAAAAAAAAAAGAAAAGAAAAATGAAGCTGGACTAAGTTTGATAAAAAGTTTTGGAAAATAGAAAGAGATATTATTCATGAGTACTTCCAGTGTAGATCACCATGGAGTTTTGTGGCAAGCATCTTAGATGTCGTTCCATCTTGGCACTCAGACCAGATACTGCTTCCATGGTTTTTAAAGTAGTGAAATAAGTATAGGAAGATGAAAAAAAGTGCCTTGATCATGTAAAATGTTGTCCTATGCAAATGAGGAGACCACCTTCTTTTATCATTCCAAGTAAAGCTAAAGGTTTTAAAGGAAGGGGAAGAGTCAAGGGAATCCTGAAACCACAAGAAAATATGAAAGTAAGTTAGATGTCTCCTGCTGAAGGTACAGATTTCTCAGAGCAGAGTTTTGTAGCTCTTCTGTGATGTTTCCAAACAGAATTTATTGAGAGGCCAGAGGTTACATTCTATATGGAGACCAAGGCACAGTTCCTGCCTTCCTGTCTAGTGGGGAAGACGTACAAGCTAACAGGCAATTTGTAAATTAATGTTGGTAAGTCCTGTGAGAATGGTAAATACCAGGGGCTCTTGGGAACACCAAGAGTTGGCTGCTGGGACTTAGGGGGAATCTTTGAGGAAGTGATGTCTGTTTTGAGATTTGAAGGATGAGTATGAATAAGGAGGTATAAGGACATTCTGGGCAAGGGTTGGAAAAAGGGACAGTTTCATATAAAAGTTTTACAAAAGCCTAGAGGCAAGAGACCATGACCTGACCTATTATTTTAAGAAAGTTTGAGGAAGGGAGTTAGAAATAAGGAGAAGGTAGAAATAAGGCTGGAGATGTAGACAGAGGCCAGATCATAAAGTGCCTTGTAAAGCAGTTTTAGAGTCTGGAACCAGTCCTAATAGCAGTAGGAAAGATGGAATGTGAAGGAAAGCTGGCAAAGTGGCCTATGTGGAGAGACCTGAGGATTGTCTGAGATGAGCAAGATACGAAGCTACATTAAACAACCCAGGAAGAAGCCAGATAGACTGGAAAAGAAATTTGAGGCTCAGTTTATCTTTCAATGTGCCTGATGAATGTTTTGTCCCTCAAGAAGTTTCTCAGCTCAGGCGCTCTTTGAGGGATAGTTGTGGGGCTTGTCAAAAACTATACCCAGTCATGCCCATGTTAAATATGTGGTAAGAGTAGCCAAACAACATTTGGGAAATTTTTACAAATATGAATTCAATCCTCCCCTCCCCCCCACACACACTCACACATGTACGCATGCGTGCTTTAAGGTTCAGAGGAAGGTAGGTAAAGGCGTAAGGCAGGGTGATTGTTTCTTCCATTGAAGTGCTGCCTTACTCAGTACCTTCCAATTCACACCCATTGACATACCTCAACGCTGAGTTCTCTAATTGCTACCATGTGCAACCCAAACAGGGACTTTTAATTTAAATACTTTCATGTGTTCCTCCTATGCCCTTTCCCATGGACATAGAGTGCCCAAGATCAGGACATACCTGACAATTTTCTCTTTCATTCATGAGGCAAAATGGAACCTCACCCATGCCATAGCCAATCTAAATGCCAGTATGAGCAAAAAGATGTTGTGAAACACACCAAAGCACTTCAGAGTAACCAGTCCAAACTGAGGAACCCCGGAGGAGTGTTGCTGCAATGTTTATTCAAACATTCAATAAGAAATGCTTTGGAATTTCAACTGAAAGTGACAATTGGGAAGTATAATGTGCTTTTCTCCACTATATCTTTTAGGAAGCAGGAACAGAAAAGAGCATTTTCCCCCTGCCTGAACCACAAGATTTCTTTCTGGCTTCCCAAGTCAAGTTTGAAGACCTCATCAAAGACTTGAGAAAACTGAAGAGGCAACTGGAAGGTAACAGGAACTGTTCCGTTATGATAATAGCTAAGAGTTTTAAAAAATGATTTAAGAGGATTACTTGTGTGTGGCTCATTGAATGGAATGGGTGCAGAGTTCAGCTGTGGTATGCTACAGCTCTCACAAAGCGTTCCATCACTAGGCACTTTTTGGAGGCACTGGACTTACACATGTCTCTCTCTTTTACTGTGTTAGTTAGTACTTGTTATATCTACATCTTGTTTTATCTACATTTCCCAACATATAATAGATATAATTTTAATAATAATAATATTAACAGCCTAAACCCTTTACTGGATGCTTACTGTGGTCTCATATAATTCTTATAACAAACCTAAAAGCAGGAACTATACTAACTTTCTTTTTACAGATAAGAAAAATGAGGCTTGGAGAAGTTATCAGGCGATGCAAAACAGATTTACTGAATTCTATCTGATTAAAACTCATGCATTTTCTAAACAAGTTTACTATGCTGCTTTCTCTCTCTCCCACTCCCTCTTCCATCCCCGCTCCCACACCCGCTCCCTCTTCTTGTCATACACACACGCACGCGCGCACACACACACACACACACACACACACGTGTTCCTATATATTTGGTTTATATATATGAGTCTAATAAGGATGGCAAGACATTCTATTTTAGTTTATTTTACATTTTTTAATTATTCAAAACAATATTCTGAAAGCCCTTTGGGCTTTTTTAAAAGGTGAAAATATGCTTCTCTTGGGCAGGAATTTTCCTTTGGCATTTCGAGAGTCTTGTGTTTTCACTGTGGAGACATCTCCTTGTCCAAGAATATAAATACTTGCGCTGGAGCTTGTATAGCTCCAACTGAAGAGCTCTGTGGAGGATTTAGGGAGCGTGTTAATGTGGAAATGGAGCCCAGAGTGCCAAAAGGCGAGCTTGAGGAAATGAAGAGCTTGAACCAGGAATATTTTTACACTAAGACATAAAATAAACATTCAAAAAATGTTTATTGTGAAAGAGTGCTCAGAAACCCAAGTCTTAGACAGAGAACAGCTTGGAACTGGAAGTGAAGGGGCAAGGTCTGCTCGGAGTGTCAGGGAAAGCCATTTGTTTTTACTTTGGGCATAAACTTGCTTAAATAAGGACGGTGGTTACAAGTGAATATTTTTACCTTGTAAATTATTTTTAAAGGAACATGTGGACATTTCCCCCCTCCTGTTGATGTGGTTGAGAGCATGAATTCAACCAAATGAATGCTTTGTTCAGGAATGTGATATGTGGACTTGTGGTTATTCTATTCCCTTTCCTAAAAAAAAATAAAATAAAATAAAATAAAAATGACAGTTTTGTTCTTGTACATGAGGAGCTTGATTCTTACTTGAGTAAAGCCAAGTAAGCCATCATGGAGTAGTTTCCTCTGTCCCTCTCCAGGGGTGGAATTAGGGCCCAGGCTAGTCCCCAGGATGGCTGCAGGTGAGCAGTGGCAGCGAAGACCCATGTTTGTTCACTCCTTGGCTGCCTTTGAATGCCCATCCCCCCAACTCATGGCCCCTTTAACACCCTGGGCCTGCTCGCTCCTCTTGTCTTTTGAACAGAAGCCTGATCTGTGTGTGTTCTTTCCTCTTCCCCGGCCTTCCTTCCAGGGACTTCCTCTTTTGGGCATCCTGGCTCGGCCTCCTCCCTTGGACGCTCCAGTGTGTTAGATGATAAGTAACAAAAGGGATGAGAAGAGTGAATTAGGAAGACAGTGGACAGGCAGGGGTTCCCCCAAAGCTCCCCACTTTGGTGTATCTTATTTTCTCTAGGGAAATCCTAGCTGTCATTGCAGATCTCAGTACTCAACTGACACTTTTCTCAGTCAATTTTAAGGAGATATCAAACTTCTGCCACTGGAGGGGCTGCCCTAGGAAGGAAAACTGATCATCACAGTTATTTTTCTTCTTTGTATTGGACTTCACCAAGGAAGTACCATAAAGGTGGTTGAGGAAACTGGGACTCCCCCACACACATTGAATATTTAAACAAAAAAATCCCTGCTAATCTTTAGGGATGCCAGTGTTTTTAACACATGAAAGGTACCTAGTAAATATTTAAAGAAAATACAGACCGTTGGTTCTCTAATGAATTTCTTTTTCTTCCAAATACCATCTGGCAAGATGGCCAGAGTCGTGGCGGTCCGTTTCATCTCCCGTCCCCATTCAGGTTTCACCGCCTTTTCCATAAGGCCTTGGTGTGAGCCTAGATTGAATGTTTAATTGAAGAGGACATAATTTTCACACATACAGCAAAGATTTGATGAGGCTTTGAGGTTTATTGTAGCCATTAAAATGTCGTGGCTGCTGGCAAAACCCCAGAAAATGTCTAAAGCTAAACCAGATGTGATTAGCAAATTTCAAGAAGTCTCAGGCCCCGGTTCTCCCGGCAGTCACGGCCCTTTAGAAGAAATTTGTTTTGAGTAGCCTGAACCACACCTTAACAATAGGATGAGAATGAAACTAGGATTGTTGGCTGTACAAATGTCACTGATTTAAGCAGAGGTTTTCAATACGCACCTTCCATAGAGACAAGAACTTTGGATAGCATTCTTATGTAGGTAAACACAGCAAGGAATTGATGATAATAGTATCAACTTCAGTTTGTTGCATTATATAATAATAGTACATTATTATCATCCATCAGGTGCTTTGCATATATCATTTTTTGAATCCTTACAATGACCCTCTGAAGCAGATATTATTGCCAATCTCTCATAAGAGGAGGAAACTGAAGTTTATGATGCTCACATAACATGCTAAATTACTTCGCAGGTGACGACCTAGCCACATTTTAAAACTAGATGTGACTCTAAGCCATGTACTCATGACATATCCTGCTAGTGGCCCAGCAGTCTCCATACCTTATCATAGATCAAAACAGAAAGGCATATAATCAAGGCATAAAGCTTCATAAAGATACAAGTGACAGAAAGAGCGTCACTGAATGTGTGCATGAGTATAACTGTATCTACTCCCACGCCTGGAACCATATAAGGAAGCCCTTGGGTTGGGGATAGAAGAGGGAGGACCTGTAGGAGAGATGGGTTATAAAAGTGAATAGACACAGTATTGCATAAGATTAAGACCTCAGGCTTTGGAATCAGATGTATTTTTTACTGGTTTGGTGAAAGTAAGATCTTGTCAATTAACCCATAGAGTGTATTAATTTCTCACAAAGTGGGACAATTATAGTACATACATCATAGAAGGACATGAATGCACACTACCTTAGTAAGGAAAGCTTCAATAAAGCCGACTGGGGTTATTTGAGTACTTCTTACTGGAAAATGCACAACTTATAGAATCAGGCCCATAATGTTGGTCAGCCAGCTGGCTGTTTGTGGAGAATCGAATTCCCAGAGCACTTGTACACGCTTCTCTGCATTGTGGAGACCAAACCAAGTTCTTGGTGCTTGGGAACATGTTCCATATTTTGTTCACTGTTCTACATCCCTTAATGAGATGATAATTTTGATTTTCCTGATACTGTGAAGTTATAAGTAATAGTTGGGAGAAATCCAGCAAGCAGTAGGAATAGTTGCTCTCTTTCTTATTCGTCGACCTTGCTGGCCAAAATTCTGAAGGTATGATTATCGACCCATGTGGCGGTAGACAGAATAATGGCTCCCAAAGGTGTCCAAACCCTAACCCTGGAATCTGTGAACATGCTGCCTTACATGGCAAAAAGGGACTTTGCTGACATTGAGATGGAGGGATTACCCTGGACTAGCCAAGTGCGCCTAATCTAATCACATGGATCTTTAACATGGATCTTTAAAAGTTGGGAACTTTCCTTATCTGTGGTCAGCAGGAGGTAGTACAGTAGAATGATCAGAGAGATGCGATGTTGCTGGCTTTGAAGATGGAGAAAGTGGGCAATGAACCAAGGAATGCAGAAGCCTCCAAAACTGGGAAAGGCAAGGGATAGATTCTCCCTAGAGCTTCCAGAGGGATTGCAGCCTGTCAATACCTTGATTTCAGCCCAGTGAGACCCAGGTTAGACTTCTAATATATGGGAACTATAGGTAATATATTTGTGTTGTTTTAAGACACTTAAGTTTGTGGCAATTTGTTTTAGTAGCAATAGAAAACAAACACACCAAAGGTGTGTTTCTGAATGTGCCAGTTGATACCAGTCACACACCACACCACACACACACACACACACACACACACACACACACACCCCATTGCTGAGGCCACAGATGTGGGATTTCCCAAGTACTAGTGCTCACCAGTACTGCAGAAAATGTGAATTAGTGCTTTCTAAAGAAAGAGTCACTAGTCCGATAAACCTGGAAATGCTCTGTCCTGAAATCACATCATAGGAATTCACAGTGCACATGAGTTTATTAAAGGTTTTAGGAAGTCCTGCAATTTAAAAAAAAAGAACACACACACACACACACACACACAAAAACCATCTTTAAAGCAGCATTTCTCAACTTAAAACATGAAACATTGTGTGTGTGTGTTTTGTGTGTTTTTTTATTTCACTAAATATTTAGTAATATGTTGCAGAACATACATTCTGTGAAATATAGCTTAAGTGATGTTGACATTGCTATCAAGTTTTTAATATAAAGACACAACTATTTATTAAATCGTCATTCCTGGATGACCTTAACAGGAGGAGCTGTGATAAACAATTATGCTCTTTGCCCATTAATGTTGCTCTTAATACTCCCTGACCACACTGTCCTTAGTTGTTATCCATGTAAACAGAGTGGGTCACATCCTCTCATAAGTGTTGATGCCTGAAAACCAAAATGAATAGCACTAGTGTTACTCAAAATTACTCTGGTGTCACCACTCCCAAATCCACATTTGTTTCACATCATCCTGCAATAGTATTTAGTTATGAAAAATTCACTCTGGCTATGAAAGTAAGAAGGTTAATTAATTTTTTTTAGAAGATAAGACAGGAACTCTTCAGATAGGTGTTGAAAAGTCATTCTATTCTGAGAAGTTTAAGAAGAAAAATAGCCCTG